CAGAGGTCCGTTCGTGATGGGGGTGACATTCAGATCGACCCAACCCCGCCGCCGAGGAAGGCTCTTTTCCCAAATGCCACGGGCAGAGACGCCTCCGTGTCCGCGCACGCAGTTCGAGTGCGGCGGGGAGGGGTGGGGTGAGCGGCTGTCTGTGTCCGTCACTCTCTCGCGGGGTATGTTGAGGGGTTAACTAACGTGAGCGTTGTTTGTTCTCTGTTTGCACTTGCTGCAGTTGTGTGCTCTTATATGTATTATCTTGTAACCCCTTTGAATACCCCACACGGCCGAGCCACGCCGAAAAATACATACATGCGTACACATAAAAGAGAATGAGGAGCGAGGAAGAAGAAATCGTTCGTCGAAACTTTGAACACACGATTTGCCACAGACATGAGCCGCTACTTAACAATCGAACTAGGCTCCAGTCGATGCGCCCTAACGAAAGAGTCCGATCTGCTTTGCTGCTGAACCAAAAGAGTCCGATCTGCTTTGCAGCGAAACCAAAAGAGTTCGATCTGCTTTGCTGCCAAACCAAAAGAGTTCGATCTGCTTTTCGGCGATGGAACGTCAGGCATCTTTGGAGGGCTATAACTCCTCGGATATTTTGAATATACACAAAATAAAAAGACTTGCTTGTTACCCTAACCTTTACGAATGTGTACACCCTAAAATACATACACTTTTCCCTTCAAGCTTCGAGATATCACAGAGTTTCTGCGGAGCGGTCGACGGTACGAGCGCCAAAAGCAGATCGGACTCTTTTGGTTTGGCAGCGAAGCAGATCGGACTCTTTTGGTTCAGCAGCAAAGCAGATCGGACTCTTTCGTTAGAGCGCATCGCAGTGAGCTCCACTGATATAGATCCGGGTGGGAGATGATAGAAATTAGGAACACATTTGTGTTCATTATTTTTTCGGAAGTGACATCCAGCGGGGCGTTTAGGGGCTCACCAAACGCTTGACGCCCCCCCCCCTCCTCTTCGTGTATCCCTCTCTCTCCCCTTCCCACCACCCCGACCTGACTGTCCGATCCGATTTGCGATTTTGCGA